ATCATACCCCTCTTCCGATGGAGAAAAGGAAAAGAATTGCATAGCCAATTAGCCTAATCTTTTTTTTTTCTCTAATTTGTCTGTTTTGCATAACCACAGTATTAACCAGCAGTTCACTCCTGCTAATCCCCAGTGCTACAAAGAAGAAAAGAACCCATTTGTATATTACAGTGTAATCATAATATCTACTAATTTCCTTCCATACACTGCAGGCCTCTTTTGAAAGGAGATTGCTGGCATTATCCCCATTTTATAAATGAGGATACTTACAGTACAGCAAAATGATTTCTCAGGAACTGAGAGTTACTGATAAAGTAGAGCCTGATATCAGTGTGACTGATAGAGAATAAAACTCAGGTCTCCTAAATTCTCAGCACAGTTCACTCCCTGCAAGCTTCAGTGCTCACTTGCATCTGGGATTATGAGAAGTCTGCAGTAAACATTTTTCTCCTGCATTTCTAAGTAAATTTATTTTCTCATTTTCTTAATGTCACCACACAAAGAAGTGAGTAATTACAAAATTGCTTGCTTTCTGTGTGTCTACAAGGACATAACAAGGACTTTTTAGTGGTGGTAGTAGAAAACAAGGTTGACTTCAAAGAAGGGTGCTAGCACTATCCTTTTTTTTTTTTTTTTTTTTTTTTTTTTTAAAAAAAAGAGTCATGGTCTCATTTTGGTGCTTTCACAAAATAAGACATAAATCTCCATGGATTGAAAGGAGTGTATTGTTTGCAAATGCAAACTTTCATCTTGGCCATAGCTCTTCATCACACACAAACTCTCATAGGAACATCTGTCTATTGCTGTTATACTTCAAATTCTTATTCCATGCCCCAATCCTGGCCATAGGTCTCCTCCTCTTCTAATATATGATGCTATTGTGCCAAGGGTGAGAGAAGATGGCTTTTTTGTAAATTAAGAAGGTCAGTTGTAAGACCCCTATGCTAATTTCATTCCTTAGAGGCAAGATTTTTGGAGAAGTCAGACCCATGTTCTTTATATGAATAGTTTTCGCTGAGGTATTTTGACCTTCACATAGGATTCAGAGACTAGCTTAAGAATTAGGTAAAAATATCCTGGCACCAATGTGGTGGAGATTTGCCTGCTCCTCTTACCCCAAGGAAAATTAGCTAGACAATAAAGGCAGAAATTACTATGTCTTTATGTGTGTGGACAGTGAAATTTCTGTAAGGAGATTTTCAAATTTCTTGTAGTCCTAGATAGGACTGCATTTACACTTACACTGTTAACATATTCAAGCATTCACTTGCTTTCCCAGTTCTCATTGTTCCCTGGCTCCTTAAATTATACACATTAAAATCTATCATAACCTATCATTAGTTTGAAAAAAAAGCAAGTGTTTTGCTAGTTGATCTCCTCTTGTAGCTAGTCAAGTGTTACCCTTTTCCCTAAAGAAAGGTTAATATCAAATGTAGATCTTTATTTCTATTCTGTGATAAGAAGCATCTCTGCAAGATCACAGTGCCCTGATGAGCAGGCAGACAACATCAGGCTCCTTGCCTCAAGATACTGCTGCAATTAAATATGTTTGCTACCTGAGGGCTAACAAGTGAGCACTAGGATCTTCTGAGTTTCAAAAGACAAAAACATTGAAAAGCTGGTTTTTGATCTCCAGTGAACCAAGCTATAGGTTCTTGATACCTGAAACCAACTTTCTGTGTTTAGATGATGAGTTGACGGCCTTGCAGGATCTCTGCCTAGTCAGAGTTTTAATGACCCCTTTCAGTTTTGTGGCAACTCCTAGCCATTGAGTCCCCATGGCAGGGCATGGTGGTCCATGATTAATGGTGCTAGATGTACAGAGCAGCCATGAAGAGATTCCCCCTTTTAGGCAGCAAAGAAAAGATTGAAGTGGCATCTTGCAGCTACCCGTGTTGGGGACAATCAGAGTCATCAATATCCCAGAATGAAAATGTGTCTGCATTGATTTTACATGTGGGGGACGTTAAGAGATGTCATCCATCATAGCTGACTGGCAGTATGTTTGGGGAGGGTGGGCTAAAGCCATTGGAGGAATGCCAAAATACTCTTATAATTTGGCAACTTCATGAAAACAAGATTGTCTTCCCTGCAAGCTAGAAAACTGAGTGTGAGATTAATTACTTAACTCCTAGTACTCTTGAATTTGATGCTTATTCCTATGCTCAGCTGTTCTTTAACAATAACATTAATTTGAATATTTTACAAGAACATTTGAAGTTTATTTACGGAAACATCTAAAATTCTTCATTTTAGATGTATATGGAGAGTTGATTGCTTTTTCCGTAATTGGGATTGCAACTGTGATCTTTTATAAAGCTATTATTAGTCCCAATATTATCACAGCTGTAGCTTCCAGGACTGATTGAGTTTAGAAATGACTCAGTTTCTTTTAAAGGCTAAGATGAGCTTTTATGGCAAATTTCAATACAGTCAACCTGGCCAAGCTTTAGGACTGGTTATGGCTCCATTGCTGTACATTTAAAAATGAACTGGCTTTACATTTCATGCCACTATCACTACCTGCCGGTCCTTGAAATATTCCAGGCAGTTACATTTCCTTGGAAGCTTGTGTGTAATCGTATTTGAAGAAAACATGTTGTAAATTATTGAAGTTATCAGTGTTCACTCTATATAAATTGGCATAGTGTATTAGGCTGAAAGACTGTATTGCTATATGTGTAAGATATGTGCAAAGCTATATACTATGTAAATCCAGCTGTTTGCTGTTTGCTTGGAGAGAATATAGAGGTCTCTCTGTGTTTCATCAGTGCAAAGCAAAAGGAACCATTCTAACAGATGGTGCTATAGCTCTGTTTTTAGAGAGTTATGACTCAAGTCGAAGACCCAGTTTATAGGGCTGACTATTCTTTCTGCTAACAGTGCTACTTGTTTGTAATGAGGTTTCGCAGTGAAATAATTTCTGCATTGCTTACGCACTGCAGAATTTTTTAAGCGTGTGGCTGGGACTGATGGTGGAAAGTGGACTATAGCACTAGGTGATACAGGAGGAGAAATGAAGCAACTGGTGAAACTGTTCAAGAGTTTGAAGATCATACATTTGAAAATCAATAATATGCTGTTCTTCCATCTAACAGCCTTGGTGTGTGTATGAACAATTCAACCGAGTGCAGTCACTGCCCCAGCTGCTGTGGCCAGTGGTGTGTTGTTTTCAGGGCCACATAAGGAGGAGAATAATTAGAAATAACTTGAGACCAAACATTTCAACTATTAGAAACCATTTTAGTAACTCTTCCAGGAGGAGCTTTCCAGGAGGGCTCCTTTATGACCTCCTGGCTCATTCCGAATAGCTCATCGGTGTCTGTGTAGAACATCTCTATTAGGATGATAAATGTGCCACGCATCTCAAATATAACATTGAGTAAAACTGCCAGATGATTTTTATATTCCAGGTGCCTCACCGATATTTCTTTTCCTTACAGAATTTTTTTGTGTGTTTGTTTGCTTTTTGAAAAGGAGCCACATCCTCGCCTGTGGCCAGACTGAAGGGTTGTGTTAGTGGTGTGAATGCATAAATGTAAAGACGCTCAGAAGCTCATCTCTGCAGTGCCTTGACGTTTCTACATCTCTGTGCAGGCCTGTTCCCTCCCACTGCACAGAGGGGCCTCTGCAGACCTGCAATTTTATGCTGGCTGTGATGATGATTTGAGGCTAAGAAAGCCTGGTGCTCCCACAAGGAGTGTGCCTTTTTCCCCCTTGCCAGGCCTCACCACCCCAATTACAGTCACACCAGTTTGCTGTGTGGTATGAGTGCCCATGGGGCTCCCTTGTTGCTGGTGCTAAAGATCTACAGCTCTAAGTCAGAATGGGGTCTTTTTATTTTCAGCTTTTTTCTCTCACTCAAGCCTGTTATGTGGAAGTAAAGAGAAACATGCATGGGGTATCTCTTTGGTTTTATTCTTGGCTACCCACCAGGAACCAAGTCTGGGATTCTCCACTGTATTCCACTAATGTGCTGCAATTTTCACCAGTTTGAAGTGGGGGTAGACCATGTTCATTCCCGTGTGATAATTGTGAATGCTAGTTATGTTCTAATATTGCATGAATTCAAATGACTGCCTAAGTTTTGTGGCAACAAAGAATAATATCCATAAATGACCAAACTTGGAGCACATCTTGGGCCTAGCTATTTGGTTTTTGAAAACGGATTTCTATTTGAGTATAATCTTTTATTTTATAGAAACCTTCTTGTTTCCATGCCTGCATCTTCCTACCTCTCCTCACACTTCCACAGCCCATACTACCAATGCCAGTATTTAATTTTCACTCACACAGAGGAAGGTAGTTGCAGGGAGAAATTTCTGGCAAAGATGATAGCTGCCTTTCTAGGAGATGTTTTCCACAGTGGGGAGTAGGAGGATGGAGAAAGTAGGTTGGAGAGTAGAGAAAGGGAAAGAAATGGTTGCCTGCCTTGCATTCTCAGGAAATGAAAAACTAAATGCAAACCCTTGTCTTCACAAGGTAAGCAACCTGCTGATGTTAGACTATAAATGTTCAGGCACCCATGAAACAACGTGACAACTACCATGTTCAGACTCAGCAAGTGCAAGGGTCATTGGCCCACTCAGAAAGAACTGCTCTTTGTAGGAATATTTTTTTATTCTGAGTTACTTGTTCAGGTTTGAATATATTTAAGATTATGACAGATGCAGGTGAGACAAAAAAAAAACAAACAAACCAAAAAAAACCCAACCAAAAAACCCAGACTAGTTTGGTCTGCTTTTTCTTATTCTTATTCTCTTTATTGAACATTTGAGAGAAAGCCCTTAAAATTTGTGTGTTACTGGATGCTGGCATGCTGGAGGCATAGGAGCTGGGAAGCTTGAATGCTTGTTTGAATTATATGGCTCTGACTCCTCTCTGCCAGTGTCCAGAACAGTAAACACCACACTGTTCTATCTGTTCTCTTCTCTTTTGCCTTACTGTCAAAAGTTTTTTTTTTTTTTTTTTTTTTTTTTTTTTTTTTTTTTCTTTTAAAGGATGATTCCAGCTACAAACAAAGCCTTTGTTGTAAACAACCTTGTTTCTGGAACAGGCTATGACCTCTGTGTCCTGGCAATGTGGGATGACACGGCCACAACCCTTACTGCCACCAATATTGTGGGATGCGCCCAGTTCTTCACCAAAGAAGACTACCCTCAGTGCCAGTCGATGCACAGTCAGTTCCTGGGTGGGACCATGATTCTGATCATAGGAGGCATTATTGTGGCAACTCTGTTGGTATTCATTGTAATACTCATGGTCCGCTACAAGGTCTGCAACAATTCCCAGGGGAAGATGTCTAACGTCAGCAATGTCTACTCACAGACGAATGGAGCACAACCAGTTCAGAATGGAGTCTTGCCCCAAGTCAACCCCAAAGTGGTGGTGAGAAATGAACTTATGGAGTTTAACTGTCAGTCTGCACGGAGCAGCATCTCCTCTTCTTCCAGCTCTGCAAATAGCCGTGACTGTGATGACTATAGCCTCCAAAGTGAACAGGGCACATTGTCCAGTAAGTGGAGGCCTCCTTCCAGGTCAAAACACAATATTGACCGGCTAATGGGAGCTTTTGCATCCTTGGAACTGAAATGTCAGAAAAAGGAGGAGATGACAGACTCCAGAACTTCCACGGTGGCCTGCCACTCGGACAAAGAGCCACTGCTGGGCCAGCCAGAGTCCAAATTTCGCAGCCTCCTCATGTTGCCTCTGGAGGGCAAAACTAAACGTAGCCATTCTTTTGACATGGGGGACTTCACCACATCTCAGTGTTGCACCTACCCAAAAAAGATAACAAACATTTGGACAAAGAGGAGCCTCTCAGTGAATGGCATGCTTTTGCAGTATGATGACAATGACCTAACAGGGGCGAAAGGGACTTTTGGGAGCTCAGAGTGGGTAATGGAAAGCACAGTGTAAATATCACTGTCTCCCCCCTCCTCTTTCCCCCTCATGTGTTATAAAGCGTGGTTTGCTGCAGGGCCGTGCATTTGAAAAGAGAGGGGAGGAAACTTTTTCAGTTGTACTGGCCAAAAAGATAGGTAAACAAATACGTAACAGGGATACTGAAAGAGAAAGAGCGTCGTGAAATGTGAATAGGCACATATGGCACCATTCTTGTCTGGCCCCAACTAAACCATGCGTGAATATTTTGAGGAATTTGCTAGTTGTATTTAGCATTGCTTTCCAAAAGTTGCTCAGAGTCTTGGTGAACCATCACACAAGATTAATCAAGGACGATGAAAAGGGGTTTAACAGCACCAATTTAATTTTATAGGGTTTTGTTTTGTTTTGTTTTGTTTTTTTAAAAAAGGGCACTTTTTTTTTCTTTTAACCACAGTAATATGTTTCTTGGTATATAAAATAGGTGTTAGGATATATCTGGTTGTCACTGCAAGTGACTTTCTCAAAAGTGCAGGCAAGGAATCCGCAGGGACAGATCAGAGCAAATTGTTAAGCATAATTTCATGGTGTTAACTGTGACATCTGGGAATATAGTACTTGTTGTTGAGTGGGCTTTTGGTTGGGATTTAATGATTTCTGTTCCGTTTTGCCTTGTTACTGCTTTTGAGTTGTGTTTTCCCCACAACAGAAAGTGTTTCCATGCATTTTTTAGGTTTTGTTTTCAGTCTCATCCAATCCCCCAGATGAAAAGGAAGATATGTACAAAGGTCAAATTTCTGATGTACTGTATAAACCACCTTCATTACCACCCCTTATGTCCTAGGAAAAATTAAATCTAGGGGCTAATAAATTAAAAAAAAAAAAATCATCCTCTTTCTTCCATCTTCTTCATAGTTTCTGCTTGTCAATGCTCAAGGCAGATTGCAGCAGCTATTGATATCTGTAAGGGTGTTGCTATCAAAGATGGGAAAAGTAGTAATCAAGATTTCCTATTAAAGGATAAAGAAAGGGAAAACAAAAGCAGCTCTCATGAACTCTCCACATTATAAATACCAGTGGTTTCTGGCAAAGGTCACGCTGTCACTCCGCTCAAACGACAAAGAAAACACAAACTTTCACCCTATTTTGACAAGTTTTTTGTCCGTACAGTCACCATGACACAGCTTGACTGTACCATTTTGTGTATTTCAGGGGATTTGGTATGCTCCCAATTATGGAAACAGTAAAATGTAGGTGTCTCAGATCAGGGGGTCTCCTATGTGTCCTCTGCATTACAGATAACCTTTCCCCAGTCCTCGGTGTACTCCTGCCCCCCTGTCTCTCACCCTCAGTAAGGTACTTGCTAACTAAAACCAGGAGCTCTTCAGGGCTTGTGAACTGATTCTCAAATTCATTTTGGGGGAACATTGCTGTGGTTGTGGAGATGCAGATGGCTCACCCAGTTGAATTCATTGTCCTTAACGACTTTACTGTAATTTTCAGCATTCTGGTGGCTCCTGCAACTGTCCTTTCATTTGTTTATTTATTTGTTGGCTCCCAAAGATCAGCTGCTGGGACCCATTCTGAATTTGCACATTGTTACTATGATTTTGTAAAAGACATGTGGAGTAAGGGTACAAGGCACAGAGAAAATAACACATGAAAAAACTCTATGTATATTTTTTTTAAAGGTGCAGAGATATATTGTGACATGGCTGTGTACTTGATCTTGTATTCGTCACGTTTCCTACTTGGAGTTTTAGAAAATGACATCCCTGTGATCAGAATATTTTTTTCCTTTATTTTCTTTTTTTTTTTTTTGCTACAAAATGTACAGTAAAAACATTCTTGGGGAAAAGTACCTGCTTTTCATTTGTTTGCTGTTCTGTGGTCTGCTTTGAAACCTAAGTAAGGAGCAGTAATTATTTTTAAAATTATCTTGAAAATTTAGATGTTTGCTTTCTTTTTCCCTCAAACTTCAGGAATTTAGGTATAAATTAGAAATAAAAAAAAAACCATACCTTTTTGGAATGCATGAGAAAGATTTTGTAAGAAGGCATTTCACCTCTTTTTCTGTGGTTACATTTATACAGCTCTATATCACTGATGTATTTTAAACCCTGATCCAAAATATGAAGAAATAAGAGGAAGTCTTTTTAGGTTTAGGAACTCACTTTGTAGGTTTTTGCTCAGATTATTACTCACTGCTGACATCAATATATTCAAAAGGACCCAGTCAAACTTTGCAACATCTTTCAAAGTCTCTGGTTTTCTCATGCTTTCCAAGAGTAATGACACCTCTAGTGCCAGAATCTATATCATCCAACAGTCCAGATGGCACCTTCACGTTAACCATTAATGACATTTACATTTATGATGTACTGAAGACTCTTAAAGACATTCATGTAATTATTTTCTTTTCCTTGTTACACTGTGGTGTGGTTGGAATTTTTTATTATGTTTCTGCTTCACTTTGAACATGACATTTGGGTTGTTTTTAATTTAGCTGTTGAGTTCATCAGCAATATTAGTAGCATATGCAGCCATGAATTTTCAAAAGCAATATCCTATACTATTTTCTTTATTAAAAAAGAAAATATTGCTTTCACTTTCTCATATAAGATTAGAGGAAATAAGCCAACAGATGCTGTTTTAAAGTAATGGACAGTTGCCAAAGAACCCAGGTAATAAAGTCCACAATCTAACAGCTGCATTTATTACTGTTAATCATGATTTTAATTCATTTAGAGTTAATGAATGAGGCTCAATCCACATCAGCAAATTTGCAAATATTGTACAAAATGAAATGAGCACTCAACAATTACCTTTGGTGCTCACAGCATTTGGGAGGAAGAGGACTAAGGGACTCATAGGTGAGGTAGGGAGCCCCATGGCGAGTCAGCAAGTGGCCAGTCCTGGGTGCCTGCTGGGTTGTGATCACCCTTGAGGTGCCACCAGACACTGCATTGTTTGTACAGCTGGCTAAACAGACCTCTGAAATTATCCTGTGGTATCCCCTTTATCACTTTGAGAGCTGCTGAAGTGTTTGAGAGCTGCTCTGTGTTTTGGGTTACATTCTGAATCTATGCCCTAATTGTTAATGTACAAGTGTGACCCTTAGGGTGCCTTTGTTTTGCCTCCCCTTTCATGTGCACACCTCACTCAGCATCTCTGGATTTGATTATTTTTCTGTAGTTCTCCTGCATTGCTCTACTTCTGAGCGCAACTGCACATCAGTAGCTGGTGAAGTAATATACAGATATCCACTTACCCGGTCATAATAAATATGTTCACACATCATTGAGGAGCTGAGCTAGCTGGCCTAGTCCCCTGGCCTCACAACCCTACACTGAGAAATTTATACAGGTCTCAAGTAACAGTGCTGTCTCACATATTCACGTGTGGTAGTGTGATGTGCAGCTGCACCAACTGTGTTTTAGATGCAAATGTCAGGTGGAGCAGATAGTAAGGATGACAACAGTGATGAACAAGAGCCTTCTGAAAGAGAAGCCTGGGAAATTAATGGTGCTACAGAATTTAAAGTGAATCTTGTGGGAATAATTAAAGACAACTGCTTATACATATGTAAACCCTGTAAATTATTTTTTTAATATGTTTTATAATAATGGAATAAGCTTTTTTCTAAACATATATGCTATTTACTTAAAAGAACAGGATATGATTCCACTGTGAATTCTGCACACAGTTAGTCCTTCTAAAAAACCAAACCCAAATCCCCAAAACATCATCCTGGAGACTATTAAACAAGATGACGACATGAAAATTTGAATTTAGTCATGATCTGGATTTCCTTTGATGTCTGCCAGGAATCAGATGGTTGTATGAAATGAAAATAAAAGTTTATGTGTGCATGTATATGTCTGCATATGTACATATGCATAGCAAAGCAGACCATACTATTTGCTTACAATTTCTATCCTCCTTACAGATTTAATGACTTGGGATATATATCTGATTTCAAATGTCTTTTCTGAGTTTGCCACCTCTAGAGAACAGCAACTAATTTGCTTTCCCCTTATCCTTAGAGGAAGATAACCTTTTATATGTTCCCAAACTATACCCAGTACTTGGTTACAATTCGGATTCATTCACTTGTAAATCAATACATAACAACAAAGCAACGAAAGATACCTCTGCCCTGAATAATTCAAGACTGGAAAGGTGGTAGCTTTTCCTTTGCTAAACCTCATTATATCCCACACTGTGGGATTGATCTGCTCTGGAAACAGAAAAAAATAATCCAAAAGACAGCTTGTTTCATTCCCACGCTTCACCCAGCAAAGCATTGCAAAGACAGATGACCAAAAAGCCCTTGGAGGTCTCTGAGCAAGTGCAATAAATGCAGCAACCATTTAAGCATTTTCTAATCTAGAGGCTAATGAATAATTCCACCTGATAGCTAGGAAAACTTTCTAGTCTTTGAATAGCTTGGATGTCACATCTGTTTACAATGCTTTGTACCCATTAACCTGTGGGTAACCCACAGCACACCATATGGTGCATGCAGCACCCCCCTCTACCCATTGCAACCAATTTCTCTGGAACCTTTTCTCAGTGACTCTCTCCTCTCTGTGTTTGCAATTCAATAGTGGGGCAATTCTGGATGTGGAATAATATTCTGGATGTGGAATTAACAAGTGACATTATTAACATTTTACATGTTTCACCTTTAAATTCCCCTAAACACAAGGGGATTCCCTCCAAAAACATGTAGTTAGGTTTGGTTGTAGACTGTAAGCCAGATGAAAACTAAATCAAATATTACCTTGAAACTCTTGCTTTCAATATAGGAATTTTATGTTCTGCAGTACATTTTCCTTGTCCTAATTAATTAATCCTTAATCCCCAAAGGTACAGGATTCCCTAGCATCAGCTGTCAAAAGACCCTACTATATGAAACAGTGCCAGATGTTTATTCCTGTTATTACTCTCCCAACAGATGGCAAATTCCACAGATATAAATATATATCCAGATATAGATACATCAGCAAGTGCATTTGTATTCATGCATACATGTTCATGTGAACACATGTAAACGTGCATCTCTAACTGTATGCTTTGTGGTGTACAGATTTCCTAGTTTGGTAATAAAGGAACATTATATTTTTAATGAAATATTAATGGGAGAAAGAGTGAGAGAACAGAAACTTCCTCTTTCTAGGAAGCAGATTAGTTGATAATCTGCATCTCATTCCATTAGGGAGGGTTCAGTGCTTCAAATGAACTTAAATGGAGGTTAAAATATTCATGTGTTTCATATGACCACAGTGAAGGTTCATCTCCTACGTTAGGGCAGATATTCAACTTCCATCACGTGCTGCAGATAAATCTCCTGTCAATGAGGACTCATGCTTTGCAGGGAAGCAAGCAGCCATAGGGAGCTACTGTTCTACATTCACTGCCCCTGTCTGTGCTCTTAAATGTGCTGACAATGTTCTGCTTCTGTTTGTTAGTTGGTTTGGTTTTTGGGACAGGGAGGCATCACATATATATATTATACTTATGAGGGGCGTGGACACAAGGCTAGAGAAATTGGTGGGAAAACATTGAAAATCAATTGCCCGTGCTAGGAGAAAGTAAAACTTGACTTTAAAATCCATAAATCTGGAAATAGGAGAAGAGAATGTTTCATTAGTTACCTGTACGGTTACAGAGGTGGCCATCAACTTGTGGTTTAACTTCCACAGCCATGTTTGCCCATAATATTTCTCATGCAATGAGAAATTGAATGGATGTCTTTCATGGCACTTTTAAAGTTTCTTCTATAGGACTAGTTTATTTTAAAGGTATTAATACCCCTATCCACTTCCTTACAATGAACCATGCAGGAATATTTTGATACTGAACAGTTAATTACAACCTGCACCATTTATGAATCAAATCACAAGACAGGTGTCTGCACAGGGAAGAAAAAAAAAAAAAAAAAAAGGATGTTGTTTCAGGAAAGCTGGTCCTCTTTGTCAACGTTATTGGTACACCAGTATGAAATGTAGGATCTGAGAAGGCATAGGCAGAGATGCATGTGGTGAAATGTCTGCTTTTTACCTTGTGGTAATGAGGCTTATACAGAAATCCAGAGGATGGATGTGTTAATCTTCCCTTCCTTTGAACATGACTGAGAGATGTGAAACTAAATTAATTAGGCTCATAAATCTGATGTACCGTAGACAGA